AGGGGGGTTGGAACTACATGATCCTTGAGGTCCCCTCCAACCCAGGTCATTCTGTGTGATTCTGTGTGATTTGATTCTAGTAGAAGTCCCAGAAGCTGTTCTCGAATTTCTGGTTTTGAACATGAGTCAAGCTAATGGTCATCAACAGTTATGGCCTAATAGTAAGTCTACTGATTGAAATTTGTTCAAGTTAAAGCATTTTTTGCTCAGCAAATCTACTCACCCCGACAATGCACTCCTTCGTCGTACCCATCAGAACAGTCATAAACACCATTGCAGAGCTGGGACAAGTGAACGCATTTGTTTGTACCAATGCAGGTCATGTAATTCAGAGGGCATTTGAAATCTGCTTCTTCGGGACCTAAAAACAGACACAGAAAATGTATTACAGAGACTTTTGTATCTGCAACAATGCAAAAAAAAAAGAAAAAAAGAGTTCTACATCGCGCGCTATTTCCACTTGGAAGCTAAGGGCAACACTCCATGTATTAATTCACTTTGAAGCTTTTTAGTGCATCCTCACTGCTGTAGTTTGGAAAATTAAAACCATCAAGTAAAGATTAGTGTAATTAAAAAGAAATCAGTGGGTCAGAGAGGATTACTTCCCAAAATGCAGGTGATAAAATATTGGTGTTTTTCATATTAAATTTCGCATATGCTAAAATAAAATTTTACAAACATTACAGTGTGATAGTTGTGCAATTGCCTTGTGAACCATTGTGTAGGATTTCTATGCTCATAACAAGAATATCTTAGTATTAATATTCACTGCATTGCTATATAGATAATCTTAGCTCTCTATGAAAATACATACAAATCACAGAATCAAAAGACTGTAGGGGTTGGAAGGGACCACTCTAGATAACCTAGACCTTCTGTTAAAGCTGGTTCCCGAGAGGTAAAGCAGGCTCCCTAGACAATGCTCCATATTTATGGCTGCATTAGAGCAGAGAAACTGCCCCTCCATCCCAGAAAGCTGCTTGAAATCACACAGCATGGGATGACAGTGATGAGAGAACAAGGATGCTGTGGTTGCTCTCTTGGGGACATCAGCTCCTTGACTCTGAACAGTTAAGTACAAGGATTTTTGAGGCTCTTCTGTTTTTCTCTTGGTGATGATTTTGACCATTAAAATAAATAAATAAATAAACAAACAAACAAATGGACACACGAACAGCCAACTATGTAATTTCTCATGATATGGACTTTTGGGCTTCTAACACACACCAGAGGATATTTGGAAGTCTGAAGGGTGTAGCTCATTTAGAGGATGACTCATAACTTATGTGTGGTATATAACTAGCTACACAGAAGTGTGGAAATTGCCAGGAAGCAACTTGAACCTCCTTGACTGCTCGCATTGGAGCTTTGGGTCTGTGCTAAACTGACAGCTTGTACCATTCCTCAGGGGAAATATAACCGAGGATGCACTGTGCTCAAGTGCAAGTTGTTTTCACCTTCTGCAAGGAGCTAGCTCTGAGATGAAGGGCAGAAGGAACAGAGAGAAACTGAAAGCTGCTTTCTCCCTGGGAAAAGCTCAGTGCTGGCAGATCACGCCTCTTGGAGCTAGCAAGACAAAGCAAAGCAAAACTCCAGAGGGGATTTAGGATTTTTAAACACATTTAGATAGTTCTTAGCATGGCCCACTAAATAAAAATGTTAACTTAAAAAACTTGCTCCACTGCAAAGATACGAAGTAAAAACTTTCACTGCTGTCTTGTCCATCAGTAGGCTGCCCATCATTCAGAACAGGCACACAAAAGAACCAAAGCTCAGAGGAAAGACTGAACACATCCCTGCCTCCCATATCGCTGATTAATGGAGAAGCTGGGTGCAGTTTCTAGGGATAAAAATGTAATGCACACAGGGATGAATGCATGGTGTCTGAGGGCATCATTTTTATTATAAACATGATCTACAGTTTTTCAGAAAAACTGTATTCCTAAGATAAAGGGTTTAAATAGCTTCTGAATGAAAATAAAGGAAACAACTATTCCCTCTGTGGTTTAGGTTAAGTAAGTGCTGAGAAAATGTACAGACATTAAAATTCTTCACCAATAACATATTTTTCCTATGTTTTCTGTTAAAATTCAAGATAACAAGATAGTTGAGAGATGACCAAAACTTGTCCTAAGTGTTCAGGCATGAAGACAGTACTAAGAAAACCTGCTGAGAAGGAGAGAGGCAAGGCAGCATAGAGTGGGGGCAATGCAGCTCTATCCTGTTCCAGTTGTACACAGGAACATGGGGTGGGGTTTTGTTTTTTGGTGTTGTTTATGCTTAGCTTTTTGGCATTTTCTTTCTTTCTTTTCTCCCTTCCCTGGAGGTAGGACAGATCATCCCAAGAAGCATCCCACGCACACAAAGCTCACTGCTGTACCTGACTACTTCCACCAGTACTGGCCTCACTCTGCAGGGCTCTCAAAGAACCCAAATAAAGCAATAGAGAGCTCAGTGTCAGAGAGGCCATACAAAACTGAAACATTCCATTTGATTCCCTTCTCAGTTCCATGAGGACTCAAAGGCACCTACAATGTAACAAAAGCAAATCAATGATCTGATTGGCCTGCTACAGCTTGTTTATTAATTGCTTTAGAGCCACTGTGAATAGAGCACGAGGCAAAGAAAAAGACTTTTTCTTTAAAAAGTGAACATTCATAAAAAATTCCTTAGACCTGTGAACTATGGAAACCATGGCAGATTGCTAGAGTGCTTTCAGCATTCCTGATCAAACAGAAAATCCGAGTCCCAGACCAAAAAAAAACATAAGCATATGTGCTTTTCTTCTAAAAATAATGAGTGAAAATAATGATTCTCTTAATTAACATTTAAAATCTCACTAGGAGAAAATCTGATAAGCTAAAGATTTTGGTATTTCATTTTGACTTTATGTCTTTTCTTTTAAAATACAAAGATTCCTTCAGGACACAAATATACTGCAATTTAAAATACATCCTCTAACTTAGAATCAATAGGAGCGGGGCTTCCTAAATTACATTTCTTTCAGGAGCAATAGTCGGATGGGAAACTGAAATACTGCTTGCTGTGTTTTGCTTTCAAGACAGATTTAGTGCATCACTTGTGAAAATAAAAAGGTCAAGATTAGAAATGAATGACTTCTTACAGTGATTAAGATAAATTCATATATACTCTGTGTTTCTTTACTAGATGCTATTGAGATACAATATCTTTTGCCCAACTGACCTACATAAGAAAGTGACTTCAGTCCAAAAGAAGCATAAGCATCTGTAAAATGACTCTAAAAGGTACCAGGCCCCAGTTACCCAATGCCATCAATGAAGTAAGACTGCATGTCCCAAGTCTCAGAGCTGCCCCACTCACCCACGATCTTCACTGAACAACAACAACAGAAAAACCCACTTAGCTAAACAACACTGCATGTTGCTCTGCCTTCAATGGAGCACATCCTTTTCCTATGGAATTCTACTCTGCTGCTACACTTTCTGAACCACCTTATGCAAATAAAGATGAGCAGCTTTTTATCTTGTTTACTCCTCTCCCCTTTTCCTTTAGTAGACAGCCACTTCTGGCAGTTTTATCAAGTGAACTTTGGGAAAAGAAATTTTAAAGTGTTCTTCTTCAAAATAATCTCGGTGTATTTTACATCAGTGCAAGAATGCTGAGAATATAAAAGACGGATGTTGTCTTTTCTTCCCTTCAAAAGACACAATAATTCCTAGCCTTGCAGGCTGGTGAAAAAATAGTCAAAAGCAGTGGCTGTAATTATGGTAATACAGCATCCCTGTGCTTCACTCATACCACATCGACACATACTGGGTGGGGAGGATGGAAGGAACAGCTCAGCTCTATAAATTCACACTTAGGAAACAGAATATGTAGCCAGTCAGCCCACGGTGGGTGCAGGTCAGGATCAGGCCCAGTGAGGGCACCAAGCTCTGACTCAACAGGGATGTGTGTCACTGTTACTTTCCCCATGCTGGGCCTTGGGAGAAGTCAGGATGACAGCAGGAGGACAATGATTTCAGATCCAGATGCCTTTGGCTATTGTACCAGAGTGACCATTTCTGATTTGGTCACACCATGCCAAAGCTCAGACTACTTTTGGAGCATGTGATGAAGAATGACAAACACGCTGCATTGTGGTTTTGCCCAACCTGTGCATTATACAGTGAATCTAGCTAATGGCCCTTCAGTCCAAGTGTCCTTCCTTCCACAGGGGCTGAGAAGAGTCCTTGGGCTGTCCTCCAGCAGCAGGGCATGGAATCGATCCCACACAACCTCTGCTTTTACACCAAAGACACACCATGAGAAGGTATAGAAGCCTACTGCAAAAACTAGCAGAGACATTTTATCATGCAATTTGATATGGAATCGGTCTTGAGGCGTATTTATAACCAACCTCTACCTGTGTTGCTTCATGCTCATGCTATATTAAATTTCTAACTAGGCGATGCAACTGAGAATGTTCAAGCTGATTATTTCCACTGGATTTTGTTATCGCAAGCAAGGTAAAAATGTTTCCTCATCAGCAAAAATTATGGATGAACATTTCATTGTGTATGTTTCTTTCTAGAAACATCATCCAAATTTAATTTAAGGTACAACATTCAATGCTAACTCCACAGTTACAGACTATGAATAAAAGATATTTGGCAAAGCCTATAGAGATAGTCAGACAGAAGGAGGCATGCTATAATGCTTAACACAAATTCAATGTCTATAAAAATTTACTCTAGTCAAAAACAAACCCTCACTTCTTTCAGACTCATTTAAAGATGCTCATATATGACAACTGCTTAAAAAAATGCAGCACAGCTGCTAGGTCTGAGTTTGGTGTTTTCACCTTTGCCTTTCTCAGGACAGATTTAAGAGAGGTTTTTTCTTACAACATTTCAGGTAAGCAGGTAGCAGCTTGCAATTTTAAATAACAGACGAGGCAGAGAAAAGTGGCACATCCCTTTTATAACAAAGCATTTAATTTACTGGAAATCCAGCAATTTTCTAGCAGCTCTAACCCTGAGCTATCCTCAGCCACAAGAAACAGTTATTCCAAATCATGAGATGTCTTCAAAATTCACATCTGTGTTGTACATCAGCTGCCTTGACAGTGAGCAACTACCTACACAGAATTTATTCTGCTGGTTCAGTGCTGTGTGGGTGGGAACTCTGGAAAAAGAACTTTGCCCTGGTGCCCACTTCAAGCAGCAATCCAGCAGTGGACAGAATGTGACCCAAAGATAATATTTGTAATGATGCAAATTCAGAGTTGTCCAAAATGACTTCTCCTGCTGTGACTGCAGCACATATTCCTCTACTGAAATTTTAGCATAGAAACTACTAAGATTTGCTCTGAAGTATTGATGAATGCATTTGATTAAT